AGTGACGTGACTTCAGTATTTGATAGCTTGGGGCTGCAGATGTTAGTTGCTAATACCTGTTTTTGAGTAATAGGAAATTTCTGCTTTTTCTCTTTGCTTTTATGGTTACTGAAGCCAATGTGACATACTTTTCAGATGGTGTACATCTGCACCCCTTCAGTCTGTGTAGCTGCCTGGTTCATAGCGCTGATCATTTTGTTTCAAGAAAGCCTAGCATGGCCACTCATCCCCTCCTGATCTGATAGTGGAGAAGTAAGTACCAATCTGCTCAGTGGGCAGCTGTTGTTTATGAGTAGCAAGGTCCTTAACTCAGAGCTGTGTTAAAATTCTCAGCCTGCTGGCAGAGTTTAGGTGTGTGAGCAGAGCTCTGGAGTCACTTGTGGGCGTCTTGTTTTGGTTCCTCTCCTCCCAGCCTCCAGGCACCTGTGTTGGTGCCCAGGCTCTGGGTGTCCCTGGTTTCCCATGCACAGCCTGGCCTTTCCCTGAGGGCTGTCTGCCAGCCTTGCTGCCCAGCTCACCCCAGCCCCTGTACCCCTGCTCTGTGTCATACTGCTTTTGCCATTTGTCTTACAAGCTGCTTTCTGTCCAGCCAGAGTCCTGGTTTTCCTTTTTCAGTGTGCTGTTTCACAAGGTGCATCAGGGTGTCACCAGGGCTCCTGCTGCAGAAGGGAACAGTTCCCCTTCCCCTCCCTGTGTCCCCACATTCCTCCTCTGCTTTGCCACAGCTCTCTGGATGCTTGTCACACCCTTCATGTGAGCCAGCTTAATGAATGTAACTTATATCAAATTGTGTGAGAAAAACAGTTTTCTTTGAGGAAAATGACTGAAATGGGCTTATGGAAGAAGGCCCAGGCACATGCAAGGCATCACAGAGGAAAAAAAAAATCTCCCTTTTGGCAGATTTCCCTTAAGGTTCTGTTCCCTTGGGGACCATCTTGGTGGTGATGCTGCTGCAAGAGATATGGGTACCTGGGGCTGCTCCTCCAGGCAGATTCAAAGTGAAGATATTACCAGAGCTTCAGAAGGGAAAATTTGGAAATGCCAACATCTCCCTGAGCCCGTGCTTTGTGGTTTCTGTATCTGCTTTCTTCCCAAAGCTTTGTTTTGGCCAGACTTGTTTCTATGGCAGTGAAAAGAACAGCTCTGTGAAAAAGGTTGTGTTCCTAACACATATCAAGTCCGTGCTAAAATAACCAGGGAACAAAATTCTTCAAATAAACACTATCTGGAATTTTTATGTAGATGGATGTAGCCCCTGCAGTACCAAAATCTGACCATGCAAACCCAATACAATGGGTTGTGTACTTTTTCCCAGCCACTGGTCTCAGAAAGAGCTCAACACACGGTTCTTTTAATTGAGCTTTGGGCAGGCAGTAGCTGATGTGTGAGGCCAGGTAGTTGTGAGGTATATGCTGGCAAAACCTTGACAATGAGGAGTTTTACTAGTGGATAATGCTATTAATTCCCAACTATAGCAATTGAAAGTGCTGACAAGCAGCATTTTAATTATTTTAAAATTTCAATGCTACTAAAAATTGACCAAACATAATATTAATAGGTTGTGTAAAGTTGTATTTAAAAACTTCTATGTGCAGTCCATTGGAAGGAAAAACAAGTGAACACTGAGTGTATCATGTACCTTTCTTTTCATGGCAATGCATTGACTTTAGTTGCTGGGAGGGAATCAGAATTGGATGTTTGATTTATGAGAGAGCAAATTTGTTAACAAATTGCGAGTTAGTACACAGTATTGTGCACAATCTACATGTATTTGTTAAGTGATGTTAAAAGGAGTAGCAATTTCTCCATGTGAAAAATAACCAGGATTGTTTTTAAACAAAGTATTCAATCAGACTTTCGCTGGGTAACTCTGTATGTTTCTCTCTCTCCCCATTAGCACCTCTGAAGTAGTTTACCCTCAAGTATAGTTTACCCTTGGACCACATGAAGAGGACTTGTAATAACATTCCCCAGTTTTTAATCACCTTAACCAGGAATCAGTGCAGAAGCTGCAACCTGTGTTCGGCAGGAGGGAGGTGGCTGTGCCTGGCCCTGGGAGGAGGTGGCATGTGGGGCTGAGGATATCAGGGGGCTGTTATCCACTCCTCAGTCACTTGTTGCCTGGGAGACAAATGTAATCCTGAGATTTTTTTTTTGACCCTTCCTTGCTGGTTTTTGATTGGAGTCACTATTGACTTTTGGCTTGGAGGAGGTAGTGAAGCAGCACGCCAAGTGTCATAAGATGGAAATTAATCACTAGCGACGGGTCTGAGCTCCAGTGATTTCCTTTCCCTGTGATTGCTCTGTACATGGGAAGACTAATGACACATCTGAACAGACAGTTAACAAAGCTCTTCACACCTCCTAACAGTCAAGAAGGTTTCTCAACCAGATGTCACTTCAGTTTTCCTTTTTATTCATGCTCTGTTATGTGATTGTGGAAAAACAAAAGTAACTGTCTTAAAAGAGAACATTGCAAAGTTGGCAAGCTTTGCCTTAAATTACATTTGTTTTTGCTAGTAAATTATAAGTCAGTTCAGTTGCAGTGAAAATATAGCAAATCTGCCTTCCCAGTGGTTTTTTTAACGAGGAGTGTACTTCTCAATATTTTTTGTCAGAGTTCCTGTTTTTCAGTGAGATTATTTCTGGCTTTTGCAAGAATATGGGCAAACCACACAAACTTATCTTAACAGTGATGAAAGGTTTTGAAGTCACTCTTCAGTAGTAACTTCATATTGTAAGGCCCTCAGCTTAAACTAACTGATGGGTTTTGGGGAGTAATATCTTTCAGGTAGATGACAAGGCTGTCTTAGAAGTAAATGAAAAAACAGAGAAGTTTGGAAACAATATGTTGTGTTCCAGTAAGTACAAATAAGGTAGATGGTATTTAAGTGTAGCTTTTTTTATAAGCTTATCCCATGCTGTAAGAAGTAAGGAATCCAGCAAAGGTTTTCTCCTGAAAAATTTTCCTAGTTTTGCTCATTGCTTGCTTAAAAGGAAATTTTATGTTCTTAGTCTAGGTCTTGGATAGAGCGTGGAAGTGGAATTTGGGATGTTTGAATTCTATTTTTGACTCTGTCCTTTGCCTAAGAATCACTTACTGGCCTTGTCATGTGTCTGGCTCATTGTCCCATATTTTAGGAGGGCTAAGTGTAACAATCTCCTCCTTGCAGACTGGTGTGAGGACTGTGGTGCACAGCTTCCTCAGCTGACAGTAGCACAGGATCTCTCAGCTGCTGACTGTAGTGCTTTGCTAAAATCAGAGCCACAGAGGCTTGCTGGCTTCTCTCTACCCCTTTAGTTTTGGGCTTTTTTCACCATATCCGGACCTTGCTTCATTTCAAGTGCTGGAAGATATCTCCCCTTAGACTCTCTGTGACCTCCTAGTAGGGCACTTTTGGGCAGTAAAAGGATGGATTTCAAGCCTGCAAGACTGAAGAGTCTTGACCCCCATGCTCCTGTTCCACCAGAGCAGCATGCAGCCCTGCTTCTTTCTGACAGAAGACTGTCACAGCTCCTGTGGGTTGTGCTGGCTGCTCTCCTTTTCCTTCAAGCCAAGTCTCACATGGTGCTGGAAACTTTCTAGGTGCACACACAGCCATCCAGGGACATTGCAGAAGACTTTTGTTGTTCATTTATTTTTGGGGAGGAGAACTTGGTGCACATTTGCTCTCTGTAAGCACTTTGCATGTTGCACTGTGTATCCTAAAGCTGTCCATGGGGCAGAGGAGCACTTAGGAAGTGGTAGGGCAAAGATACAAGTTTTCAAAAGGAAACAGGTGGCTGGTTTTGGTCTTCTATACGGTTTAAGAAAATAATGTCCTTGTTCTGATGTGATTCTGTGTGCGTGTCTGTGTGTGCTTGTTCTTTAACTGAGAGCTTTGTTTCACTGATAGAAGTTGAAGCAGAGGAAAGGCATGGTCCTGGGTTGAAAAGCAGCTAGAGGCAGTAATACAGCCTCCCCCACCTGTTCCAGAAACCATCAACATTTACCAAAAAATCTTAGCATAATTCCTTGAATGCCTGTCAGTTGAGTTCAGTCAACAGTTAGGATTTGTGTTTGCTTTTGTGTATGATCAAGCACAGCAACACTGCTCCTGAACTATCATTCCATATGCTTTCATAGTGAAGCTGAGGCAAAGTTTTCATATTTGTTTGAGAACTCACACAAAACAATCCAAAATCCTCAGCTTGACCTCTGATGGGATTGAGACAAGAAATGAAATTGCACTGCTTGTAACTGCAGAATAAACACTGAATTTAGTGTAATCTTTACTTTACAGATTAACTGCTGGTGTTGTTCCTTGAGTCCAGAAAGGGTAATTACAGTAACCGTTGTTTTAGCTGATCACAATTTCACAACACACTTAAATGGTTATACTCTGATTATACTGTGGGCTTTTTTTTTTTTTTTTTTAGTATTAGTTCGTTGGTTTGTTTTGGGTTTTTTTGGTATTTTTTTTTCCCTCTGGGGAGAAAAGATGATTAATTTCCTCTTGTAGTATAATGGTATTGATGTCATGTGGGTTGGAGGATTAAGTCCTTATATTTTTAAAACAGTTGCTAGGGTGTTTAACCCTCTCCTTTTTAGCCTTGTTTCTGTTTGTATAACAGCAAAAGGAAAAGAAAACTACTTCAAAAAACAAGATACTTCTTTTCAAAGTTTCTGTTTAACGGTTAACTGTAGCTTCTTATTTTTCCAATATGAGGTGATTGGAAAATTGCCAGATATTATTAAATCCTATTAACTAGTAACAAGAGAGAGGGGGAGAAAGAGCAACCAAACATTCATTCTTTTTTTCCCTCAGAATTGTGATTTAAATCATATAGTCATAATACATTATTAATGGGGCAATAATCTCTGGCAAGCAAGTTATATTCGCTTCTGTCAGACAAAAAACCCAAACCCACTGCTTTTCCTGACAAAAACTGCTAAATAAATACGGCTGTGCCATTAGATCAAATATTTGATTTTTTTAAAAATTTTTTTCTCTTTGCAGAGTATTGGAAAGGGGTCCTTGTGGTGTATAGACCCAGAATATAGACAAAATCTTATTCAGGCTTTGAAAAAGACACCCTATCACCCATATTCGCATGTGTTCAATACACCTCCCACATCTCCTCAGGCATATCAAAGGTAAGAACTAGATGCATTTTACAATTCTAAATGTTTTCCTGCCGTGTTGGGTATGATTCTTTGGTAAGACACTAAATGTAATCAAGGGATACAGTTTGGAATGTGTGAGTGTGGAAAGCCCCGGAGCGCGGGTCTGGCCTGGCCTTTTCCACTGTGTCCAGGGCACCTTTTACCTGTGCATGGCCCTGCTGGCATCAGCGTTCCTGAGCAGAGCCTGCAGGCTTCCTGCAACAGCCCTTTGGCAGAGGAGCGCCTGAAATAAAAATGCAGATGAGCAAATGGAGAGCTCTGAAGTGCCCACTTATCCCCTTTGGTGAAGGCACGATTCCCTCCCTCGCTCAGAGGAGATGGGCTCATTCTTCTCTTGGGAGAGCTGAGGGCAGATGTTGCCTGTGCAGCTTCAGGATGTCCACCAGGTTGAGCTGGTGCCCAGGTGGCTTGACCAGCCCTTGGTGGTGGATGGGCGTCCTTTAGGATTAGCCTGGATTTTCTCCTTTACTTCAGTGAAACAGACATGGGGTGGTGTTCTTCTGTTCATTTTGCATTTTTTTGATCTGGCATTCATTTATGACCAGTGTTAGCAAAGAGATATAATCTATGGCTGCCATCCGCAAGGCAGGAAAGCAGGCGCTGAGGTTTGGCAGACCTGCGTTCTCCTTGATGCCGGTAAGGGCCGGGAATGCGGTTCGTGGCCCGTGCTTCCCCCTCAGGACGGGGAAGGTGTGCTGAGCCAGCCGCAGCAGGGCCCGCAGCAGCAGCACCGGGACTGAGCGGTGGGGTGGTTCTTGTTATTTTTCCGCGTTAGTGTTGAGGCTGGCGGGAGGGAGGGAGGGCAGCGTGATGGTCGCTGTGGTGACGGCGCGTCTCCCGGCAACGCGCGGGCCGGGCCGGGCCGGGCCGGCGCTGCCGCCTCACGGGCCCCCGGGCTCGGCCGCGCCGTTGCCGCGGTAACGGCGATCCCGGCACGGCGCTGGCAATGGAGACCCTGCGCCCGCTGTTGTGTCGGGGGATCGCCCCGGTGGCCGGGGATGCCCCTGGTCCCTGGATTGTATTCTGGAAGCCAGGGCGTGACCAGGGGTGAGGGGTGCCGAGACGGTGCAGCTTGGCTGTCCCGGTGTTCCATGGGGTGCTGGGCAAACACTGTCCCTAGCACCACCTGTGGAAGTACCCCTCACTACTGTGCTCGGCAGAAGGACAGATAAATAATTTAGGTAATGGATTAAAACTGTAATTTGTGCATTTGAACAAAGCATGTTTCCTGGCCCTTGCTTTATTGTTACTGCTGCCTTTTAAAGAGTATTTTAATTACGCTCATACAGATTTATTGGTAAATTCTCATATTGAGTAGAAGTGTAATGTACATCTGACATAGAAATGGAGAGATTTTGATCCCTTCTAATCCCCACAAACAGAAAAATCTAGCATACACATGTAGTTAAAAGCCCAAGGACTCCCATTTTTCTAAGGGTGAAGTGACTGTTGACTCAATGGGCCGGGTTTGCCAGAATCGCTGTGGAATTTGGTGGCAGATGTTGGCAGCAGGACAACGACTTGGGCAGCTCTTCTAGGCTAGGCTGAAGGAGGCAATGCAGCAGCACTGCTGTGGGCAGTCCTTGCAGGGATGAATACTTAGAGACACCCTGTCTGGGTGTCAGGGAGCACACAGGGGCACAGCTACCCTGTGTCCTGCACAGCCCTGTGCCCGCTGCTCCCCTGTCCTCATCCTGCAGGACCCTGTGCCCGCTGCTCCCCTGTCCTCATCCTGCACAGCCCTGTGCCTGCTGCTCCCCTGTCCTCATCCTGCAGGACCCTGTGCCCGCTGCTCCCCTGTCCTCATCCTGCAGAGCCCTGTGCCCACTGCTCCCCTGTCCTCATCCTGCAGAGCCCTGTGCCCACTGCTCTCCTGTCCTCATCCTGCAGAGCCCTGTGCCCACTGCTGCTCTGTCCTCATCCTGCAGAACCCTGTGCCCGCTGCTCTCCTTTCCTCATCCTGCAGAGCCCTGTGCCCGCTGCTCCCCTGTCCTCATCCTGCAGAGCCCTGTGCCTGCTGCTCCCCTGTCCTCATCCTGCAGAACCCTGTGCCCGCTGCTCTCCTTTCCTCATCCTGCAGAACCCTGTGCCCACTGCTCTCCTTTCCTCATCCTGCAGAGCCCTGTGCCCGCTGCTCCCCTGTCCTCATCCTGCAGAGCCCTGTGCCCACTGCTGCTCTGTGCTTGCTGTATGTGGCAAAGGATGCCTGCAGTGTCACCGACCTTGGGCAGAGGTTGTGCTGCCCTCTTCCAGTGGGGTCTGTGTCCAGAACCTCACAGCCTGTTTTCATGAGGGGGAGAAGAGAGGACTACTGGCAGGTGCCAGACAGTATGGGATTTAAGAAGTGGGTTTCAATCACTACCTGCTTTCAGCACTGCCCAGTGTAGCTGAGCAAGGGAGAAGGAGGAGTCTGCTGAAACACTGAGAAGCGAGTCCCAAAACTGAAAGGGAAGGTTTTTCTCCTTGGAGCCCATGGGATGTCTGAGCTGCTGCTACATTGCTTGTGCTGCCAAGTGCTTTGGAGTCTTCCTTGTAATGACTGCATCATAAAACAAAGAGCTTGTGTGGTTGAAGGAGCAAATGCCTTGCAAATACAGCAAAGGCCAGGTTTTATATGAAGAAATTGTGGTCTCACTGTTACTTTTACTTGGCTATCTTTCAGCATTTCCACTGTTAAATAAAACTTAATATCCCCATAGTATTCTAAAATATTTATTCATTCTGCTGCTAATGACTGGTGAAACGTCAACATGAAGCTGGTCTAGCCTATCAGTGACTTTTGAATTAATTCTGGATTGGCAGTTACATGGTAATTTTCTGAATAAATTTCCAATATATTCTCAACGAGTTGAATATTCCCTGTGCATTTGGAAAAAACCAGTAATCCCATGTGTAAGTGATTGCTTTCTCATGTGTACAAAGACTTCAGGAGGGGTAGAAAATGTAAATCCACTCCACCATAGTCAGATCTCCAGAGCAATGCATCGTCATAGTAACAAATTCCAAGGGGAATTTTTCTTATGGTGAAGACAGTACATCTAGAAAAAAATCCTTGGGTGGCAGAGGTTTTGCTGTCTGTCCATCTTATGAAATGGAAGTCCACAACTAAGAGAAGCTATGTCGCTTAATATTAATTAAATATATCTGGAACCAGATAATTTGCCAATATTATTCCAGGCTCTAGGAATAAGGGTCAGCTGGTGAAATTCCACGGGGGCAAATTGACCTATTCCTTGTCTTTATCAGATGTTTTAAAAGAATAAAGATGCACAAATGAATCACATGTTCTGTTTAGTATCTGCATAAGCAGCTTAGGGTAGAATTGAGCACAGAGTGGAGGAATGCATTGTAAAAATATCCCAAGCACGATGATTACTGAATACATAAATTCCCCTTTTCCTGAACATAGTTAAATTAATTGCATCAGATAATTCAGTTTCATGACTTCAGTAGAGCATCCTGCATAAATGTGACAGGGGTGGACCTTTTATGAAGGAGTTTCATGATGCGAACCCATTCATTTGGATGGCTGAGTGAGTGTTATACCAGTGTCATTTGAGATTAAAATGACTCAAGCCATGACATTTGGACTACACTGGGTTCCATGTATAGGAGACATTTTGGGGAAAAGGCAACCTTGCTGTGTTTATACATAAGAAGGAACTTCAGACTGCAGTTGTCTGAATTTGCTCCTTCAATTCAGGGCAAAGATTACCTGTAAGCTGTTAGAAGAGAAGAAGTAGAATATCACAAGGTGAATTATTTAATTTTAATTGGCTTGGATGTGTGTTCTTAAAAATCAATACTCACAACAAACAAAACCCCTTGGGTTTTTATCTGGTTCTTCTAATTGAAGCATGTGTCATAAAGCACGTCGTTTATGATGAATTTAAAGAGCAAACTAACACTGATACACATCATTACAAAGGAAGAGCTCTCCTTGGTGTCAAAAAATAGGTGTGTTAGACTAATGTGTATCTTCTTAAATTTTACAATTATTTTGGCAATAGCAACTTTGAAATATATTTATAGATACATACGTGGTTAAGTAAAAGTACAAGCCATGAGCTCCTTAAACATTCATCACTTCTCCATTGTCTTGTCTTTAGATACCTCTTTCTGATAAAAATATTCTTTATCTCAAGGTTGAGATTAGAAAAAGAGACTTTGTGGTTATGAACCCTTGTCTAACTTCTGAAATTTATTTGTAGAGACACAGAGAAAGATTTGTGAAACCTGGTGGCTAAAGCATTGTTCCTGAAAATCCAAGTTTTACAAATCACTGTGAGAAAGTGATGGCCATCATGGTGAGCTCTGTGGTAAATGGCAGGAGAGGTGACCTGGGCATGCTTTCATTTGCATTTCAGTCTATTTTAAGGCTGAAAGCACACAGTCTTATCACTCAGTCCTGCCCTTCTACTCCCACTTCACCAGTGGGAGCAGTGCAGCCCTGCAGTGGGAGCACTGCAGCTCTGCTGGAGGAACAACTTCAAATATTTACAGGTTTTGACTTTACTATCACAGCTTCCACCTTTTGCAGTTCTTTATTGAAGCTACATCAAAGTTGTAGGTTATCACATTTGACAAATTATAAGCACCCTTCCTGTCTGTACACTGCATTGAGATCAGATGTGATCTGTGACCATTTGGGGAAGTTGGTGAAACAACCTTTTCCTATTCACTAAAAGACTTTTAGGGTGTCTCCTATAGAAAAGACATGATTTGGTTGTCCTTTGCAGTCTGGAAACATGTGTTTAATTCTGTGTTACTGTTTTTGCTTTTGATAGGGAATGAAGCTGATCATAGGGATGTCTAATACTAATTTCTGTGCATGTTACAACCACTTTATCAAGAAAGATCTAACTATTTTACTTCCTATGCAGAGTCAGAATGAGTTTTCTTCTCTTGGTGTGGTGTTAAGGTGGAGTCTTCTGGGAATTTTTGTTTTGTTATTTTCATAATTTTGTAGT